GTGCTAGGTCTGTGCCAGGGACCCTGTGAACCTCGGGCTGCAGAAGCAAAGCATGTGAACTTAACCACTATGCCACTGGGCTGGCCCCTTACAAGCATTTTTAATAAGAAAAAAAAAAAGAAAAACACTTTCCAAAAGAATATTAGTCTGAATAAGTAATGAATATAAACATAACTGACTTCCTTATTTTTTCTTGGCAGTACAGTTAGAAATCCTGGGGATCAGAGATGAAGCCAGGGGTCCCAGCAGAGAGGAAGGTACAAATAAAGCCAAGACCACTGAAGGATGACTCTCCCAGGGGCTGAACTAGGAATAAAAGAAGAAAAAAACCCACAAAGGGAAAAGATAGGGACACGTGCCTGGCTCCACCAAGATTTAGATTTAAATTTTAAAAAATAACGGCGAGCAAAGAAAGTGATAACCAAATAGGTTGGATAAAACAAAAATTGACTATGCAAAATAATAACAAAGTCTAATCTATGGAGTTAAAAAAGACAACACTAACCATAGCATATATTTCATAAAGGAGGTACTCTAAAGCATTCTAATATCCTTGTATTACTATCAACAAAGTTATAAATATTGATAAGCTTTGGACTTCAATTAATTGATGTTAAAATTTCTAGGACAGCCAGAAAAAGAAAATACAACTCACAGCCAAATAAAGGGAAAAAGTGGAATGGAAGGAAGGAAGCTCAATTCGTCTAAGATAAGGCAAGAAAGGGGGCGGGGGAGGGATAGAGAAAAGAAAAATCGAAGCACAAAATAAGACAAACAAAAAAATGAAATATATCAGTATTCATAAAAAAGATTAAAGAGAATAAAGTCTTCAGTGAAAAAGCAAAGACTGTCAGTCACATTGGTTGTCTTTTTTTTTAAATAACCTAACTTACGCTGTTTACAGGAGATACACATAAAACATAAGGATACAGAAAGTTTTTTAAAAGAATGCAAAGATAAATACTTTACTAGGCATGCAACCAAAGAAAGCTGGCAGAGCTATATTAACATATAACAAAAGAGACTTCAAGGCAAAAAAGCATTACTCGAAACAGGACATACCTACCAGAAAAAGTACTACATAATGACAAAACATTCAATTTCCTAGGTAGATATAACATTTTAATGTATATGCATCTAAAAACAAAACCTCCCAAACACTGACAGAGGGGGCTGGCCCGTGGCCGAGTGGTTCAGTTCGTGCGCTCCGCTTTGGTGGCCCAGGGTCTCGGCCGTTCGGATCCTGGGTGCGGACATGGCACCACTCGGCAGGCCACAGAGCACAGCCAGAGGCACTCACAACTAGAATATACAACTACCAACTGGGGGTCTTTGGGGAGAAGGAGAAGGAAAAAAAAGAAGATTGGCAACAGATGTTAGCTCAGGTGCCAATCTTTAAAAAAAATTTAAAAAACACTGACAGAACTAAAGGGAAAAAATTTAAAATCTATGATCAAAGCAGAGATTTTTAACATCTTTCAGTAATGAAGCAGTCAAATCAATACGGACAAAAAAAATTTGAATAAAACATGTAACAAGCTTGATCTAAATAATGCAGAAATCATACACATTATTTTCAAGCACTCATAGACTATTTAGAAAAATACATAACAAAAAATGTCAACAAATTCAAAGATTCTAGAATCCCTCATTCCCTGACCTATAGCCCAATTAAGCTAAATATTTTTTAGACAGTCATCTATTTATTTAGTATGTAAATTTTGAATCCAGTGATCTTTCTCCACTCTTTTATTAGACTAAATGGTTAGTTTATAGATTTCTACATAGGTAGGTAACTATATCATTTTTTCAAAAAGACTATTTTTCTAGAGCAGTTTAGCTTCACAGCAAAATTGAGGAAAGTACAGAATATTCTTAGTCCTTTCTGTTTTTAGACAATATCTTTAATTTCCTATTATGAACAGTGATGAAAACAGTTTATTTTTTCTTTGCTTAATATTTTATTTTCTGGACTCTAAGCACTATGAGAATGAGGATCACATCTGTTTATCTTGGTAGCCCCAGTAACTTGATAAATATTTATGAAGAGTGGAATAAATCATATAGAAATAATTTGGTAGTTTACGATTCTTACATGATAGAAAATTACTAAGAAAAATGAAAGATGATAAGTTAGAACAGTAGTTCTCAACTCTGGTGCTAAAATAAAAAGTTCTCTGGATGACTCTTCAAAATACTTGACGCCAGGCCTCCACGCTCATGGATTCCGATTTTACTCTTTCTTTTTCAAAATGTTGTCAGTATTATTGGTTTCTTCAAGGAAGTTTTGGCTTTATCGGTCCTCTCCATGTATCTTTGTTCCCCACTTTATTGTTGTGCACTCTTATGTTTATTATGTTCTTCTTTCTACTTTAGGCAATTCTGTTGTTCTTTTTCCCACTTCTTATATTGGATTACTTAGGCCATTTATTTTCAGACCTTTTTTTCTTTCTTGTGTAAACATTTAAGAGTAAACTTGCCTGTGATTTTCCATTTTTGCATTCCATGTATTCTGATATATACTATTTTCATTATCAACTCTCCATATTTTCTAGTTTCTGTTATGAACTATTTCGAAGTATCCTTTTAAATTTACACCTAGAAGATAGAGTCAAGTAATGAGGCTGGCAAAAGGTGATTTCAGCATCCACAGAAGGTAATTATGCTGGAGATTTGGGTGGGATGATGTTGGAAATAAGAGAATGAGGCTTCCAGCAGCAGATACCACTGCCACCAAGGCAATTCTTCCTATGAAGAAATAGGAGAGACTCAAGAAGCCACACTCACCAAACATCTCCCAGACTGTCCAGATCCTTGAGTTTGTTACAGAGAATGGTAATTTACATGAGGTTTATGCGTCAGAATGATAACATTCACTAAGCAGCAAACCTAATTCTTTGAAAAATACCCAATTTCTACCTCAAATATCTACCCTAGGCACGTTCTCTCACTTGCCGGTGTGAGTGCATTCCAGGCATTTCTTATATTGTTCATTTATTTGGTTTCCTATTTTGTCTGCTTCCTCGTACTAAAAGGTAAGCAACATGAGAGAAGTCAGGGGCTGTGTTTTCTTCCTCCCTAAAATCCTAGCATCTAGAATAGTGCCTGGAACATACAGATTCTCAATAAATGCGTTAAAAGTTAAATGGAACAGACGACCCCTACACTGAGTCTTGAAGGGTAGGCAGGAGCCACAAATCAGATGAAGGTGGAGCAACCACGTGAGCAAAGGCAGAGGGACATGGAAACCTCATCTGCCGGAAAGCCAGCTCTGTATTGCTGGGAAATGACACGCAAGACGTGTGAGGGAAATAGGGAACTTGGGAACCAAGGAAAAAGAGGCCAGAAGGGCCTTGTTGGGCATGCTTAGAAGCTTGGGCTTTCTCAGGAAAGTGATGAGGACAATTGAAGGGATTTAAGAAGGAAGTAACATAGATCTATATAGTTCAATCTGGCAGCTTCATAAGTCACAGATTTGAGAGGGTCAAGACCAGAAGAAGGGATCAGAAACTGATTGCTTTAGTTCAGAAAAGTAACAACGATAAAAATATTCATAATAAAGACAGCTCGCCATAGTAAATACCTTCCATCTGTGTCAAGCACGGCATCAAGTGCTTTACTCACATTATCTCATTTAATTCATGATAATTTTATGCAGTAGGTACTGTTCCCATTTTATTGATGAGGAAACTGCCGCACAGAGAGATTAACTTGCCTAAGGTTATACAGCCAGTAAGTGAGGGAGCCAAGACCCAAACCCAGGCAGCCTGACTGCAGAGCCTGGATTCAGAGCCAGTAAGGTAGGAGGACAGATTCGAGACTCACTTATGACGTAAAACTCAGCTGCCCTGAGTGATTTCTTTGGAGGTGGAAGATGAGGCTGAGGGAGCAACTTCAAGGTGTTTGGCTTGGATGATCAGCAATTAGACACCCAGAAGTACAAGAGTCCTTAAAGATCACCCAACCTGACCACCTACCCAATGCCAACAAGTTCTTCTCTGCCACCTCTAACAGTGACCTAGGCCATGCTTGACAGGACGACAAAGATCTGAGGGGAGTCACACTCTGCCTCCCATTACTAAGACTCTAAAGATTTAAAATATCTTGACGGTTGAAGGGTCTTCTGAGAATTCATCCAATGATTGTCACTCTGTGATACGTGGAAATCTAGAATTCTGCAAGTACCTCAGGGGCTATCTCAGGCTGGGCTCCCACCTCCCCTCTCTGTCTTCAACTAAGCAGTACCAATTTTGTGACACTCACATGTTGAGGGTCCTTGTAAAATCTCATTTGGAAAAAAAAAGTAAAATGCTTTTAAAATGCTTCACAATCACAGGTACAAACCAATAACCTTATTTTGTGGCAAAGGGATTTGTGGTGCACCAAGTGTGAGTGTGTTGGTCAAAGTCACATAGACAAGTAATTGCAGAGCAAAACAATCCTTCATATACTGGAAACAGCCTCTCTCCTCTAGGCCATCTTTTTCTTTGTTCGAGTTTTATATAAATACATAATTTTTTAACAGAAGATTTAAAATTGTATAGTAAAGTAACATACCAAAGCACACATTCACACTTTTAATTTTTCCTATAGCCCTAAGGGTTGTCCGAACACTTAGCTCTCCCTCCCTTAGAAAGTGTATCTAGTGTAAGGTAATGTATATAACATATTATTATTTATCACCACTTGCAAGCTCATGGTAACAAAAGAGTTACAGCAAAAGGTCTAAATTGATTAGCATGCCTTAAACTCAGAGAAAATCTAGGTGACGTCCTGCCTTAATTATTTATGACTTTGCTTAAGAAAGCAATTCAAGTCAATTCAATTAAAATATACACTGGCTTGGGGTCCTCCACCCCCATGATTCTTTAACTCCCCTTCTTCCCTTTCTAAAGCTTGCAATGTAAAACTTCTAACTGATTAAACCTGTGACTTGATCAGGAGAAAAAAAGGCCTTCCCACACATGCAAACAAGGACCTCAGAAGCACTCAAGACTCACGCATTTCTATGAACAGCTGCCTCTTCTCTGCCATGGTCTTCCGCTTGTTCCCACTTTCCTCAATCATCCTGGAGACAAAGACAGATACAATTAACCACTGTACAATCTGACAATTCAACCAAGTGCTCATCACTATATCATGAAGAGGTACAGGAAACCAAGCTGTACACGCACATAGTAAGAGAATATCAGTCAAAATAAAGTGGAAGCCTGGTAAAAGATAAACCATTGTCCCTTTATTTGATAGCTTCCATAATATTAGAAAGTCAATACTTCAGTGAGTTCATACACTTGCTTCCTGTGCTGAAAATACGAGGCTATGTCTTATTTCTAACTCCGATTATTTTCTCTGCAGAGTCCTGGACTAGCTGAGACACATTTCCCACATCCCTACTGCTTCACACAGATAAACATGTCACTAAATATAATTTAGACAATAATTATTATGAAATGTTATAATAAAGAGCATAAGAATAGTTAGCTTATACTAAAAGATATAAATAAAATCTTCTACTTTTATATTAAACAATATTAAACAAAAAGATATTCATCCCCAAACTTCAAGAACTCCTAAATGTAACTTTTTTATCACATGGTAATAGTAGTTTACATGGATAAACTTGGGCTGGGCCAGTCCCTTTGTTAAAGCCCTTGCAAGCATTATCTTATGTAATCCTCCCAACAGCCCTAGGTGCTGGTATTAGTATTATTATACTCATTTTAGACGTGAAGAGACAGGTGCCTTGAAAGGAGCACTAGCTTGCTCAAAGGTACAGAACTCCGAAGAGGTGGAGTGGAATCCCAAACCTTTCATTAAATTTCTTACAAAATTGTTGCTTTGAGATGCCTATTTTTAAATCTCTATGCCTAAAAGGCTAGAATACAAATAGCTCATTGCGTGGACTCTATTGATGCAAAATTTGTGACAATTTCAGCTGAACTCTGTCTTACTCTATGAAGAAAAAAATATTTACACAATTAGCATAAGCCAAATAATTTCCCTAAGCAGATTAAACTGTTGTAAATCATGGAGTGATTTACATAATGTATCTCAAATATGTCAGAATCAGAAATTAAATGACTACACAATTTACATATCCATTAAAGCAAGGTGCCTGGTGAAAGTTTAGTTATAAATATATCCCAAAGAAAATTTAAAATGTGAATATATTCCTTAACATTTTTCAATTAATATTTTGATAATTAAAACTGGCCCCTTCCTAGATCATCGAAATGTTACCAAATAGGCTTACACACACATGATGGTTACTTAACAATTTGTCCCCAAGAAGAAAGAATTTTAAACAGAAAGAAAATAAGCCAAACAAAAAGCAACAAGAAACAACAAAAATCTAATGAAATCAAGGTCCTAGAGAAAAAACAAGAGTTGGTACCAGTAGCCTGTAATTACAAAGAAAGAAAGATACTCAAAAGTTGACTCCCTCGTCCCAAAACTGGTCTCTCACTAGGTAATAAAAATTGTAAATGTTAAGCTCAGACTAAAACAGGGAATATCATAACATCACTTATTATATCCTTTTTCTATACTTGCTATTTCCGTACACCACTTTTTCACAAAGTAGGGTCTAAGAATTCCTGGAGATTCCTAAGTTCTTCATGACAATTATCAAAATTTTGTTTTTACTTCCAGATTAATCTTGAAAAACACTAATATAAACTAATATAAAGAACTAATATTCTGGATCACCTGGAGGACCACCAAACTAGACGTAGTGCCACGCCATTTCAGGGCCCACATCTGCACACGCGATTTACTGTGGCACTGACAGCAAGACATCACCTTAAACAGGGGACGGCAAACTAGAGAAATTATACTACCCCGGGCCAGATCTGCCCTGCCACCTGTTTTTGCTAATGAAGTTTTACTGGAACACAGCCATACCCATTCATTTATGAATTGTCTATGGATGCTTTCATGCTACAATGACAGAGTTGAGTAGTTGCAACAGAGAGCATCTGGCGTGCAAAGTCTAAAATATTTACCACGCGGTTCTTTAAGAAAAAGTATGCCAACTCAACCTAAAGCAATAGTAATTAATATTGCAATTAGGTTAGCATGTCCCCACTGTCAAAATGACAAAGATCATCCCACATGGGTTTGAGTTCCAGTTGCATTACTGGAAGTCTATCCTTGGGCAAGTGCTTTAATCATTCTAAGATTCACTCCTTATTGCTGAAATGGCATGACTACATATGCTCCACAACCCTTCATTTGACAAATATTCATTGAGCAGCTCTTATGTGGCAGGCACATCTAGATGCACTGGAAATAGTGCAGTGAATAAAAGAGACACAGTCCCCACCTTCATGTAGCTTACATTCCTGTGAGAGGATTCAATGCAGTAACCCATTTAGACAGCGCCTGGCCGAAGGTCAGCAGAGCATTAACGTTAGCTATTCTTATTCCTACCATTATTATTGTTATTTATTACTACTACTACACATGCAGTTTATAAATCTAGTAGGGAGAATCTCATTTGCACTTAATGATACTATGATGGATGTTATTTAATTTAATGTATTTTCTTTTAAGAAAGTCCTGAGACTTGTTGAAACTAACAAAGCACAAAGCACTTTAGAAATTTAATGATCTAAACTGACAAAATAATGGTATCTTTAAATCACGCAGACAATTATTACAAACCTGAGCCAAACAACTCATAAAAACATACACCAGAACAATCTGAGATATCACGAAACGGTCATCACACTGATAAGCCAATAATGCACAAAGAAACTTTCTAAGAAATCTGTCTTATAAATTGGGTTTTAATTTTGTGTTATTGTTGTTAAAACTACCTAGTTAAAAAAAAAAAAAAAACTTATAGTGGAGTTGTACTACACTTGCATTTAACTAATATAAACTCAACTACACGAAAGAGAGAGAATTATTTTAAATAGATGGGCAATTCCACACCAGGATCACCTGTCTGTCCCAGGAGCATGCGAGGAAGAAAGCGAATATGCAGCTCCCTGCTCAGTCTTGGTTCCCTCTGGCCTCTGACAGAGTAAGCACCCCTTTTTCTTCTCTTTTTTCAAAATATAGGCCCTAAATACAAGCCAACTCTTCACCTGGTGTTTAACTAAAGAGAAAGTAACAGCTCCAACATGAAGAAAAAACTGGCCATGCTAGACTTACTGAAAGAACTCTATGTTGGTCTCCACCATGGTATCGCTCCTGAGGAAATTAAAAAGGAATTTTTATCTACATTAGATTTCCCCTGTACTCACTGATTTCAGAAACTAACTCCCAAGATTTGACTCCAGTGTATGAAAGATAATTGAGATATGCACAACCACAAAGATTTGATACTAACACTTCAGAAACAATGTTTCCAATGTTTCAGTTGCTTTAGGAAATTTTATTCATGTATCCATTTTCTTAAAAGTTTGTAAAATTGTTCACAGATACGAAGATTCTAAAAATTCAGAGCTATAGGGTAAGGCTAACTATAATCAGTTCTTTTTTAAAAAATTATGAAATCTAAACATGCTAATCAGCTTATGATGTGTCAATAAAATTAAAAGAAACTGTATCAATATTGCAGTAACAATTATTTAACTGTCATATCTGTATAGGAATAAAGATTAGAAGTAAACCTGAAAATGAAAACATATTTGTAAGGTGTGGTTGTTTTCCTCAAGCTTTAATTTGTCACTGTGTTGCTTGACAATTTTTAGAAAGTTGAATACATGTGAAGTTTGTACTTAAAAGAGTTTTACAATGTTTAAATATCTTTCCTTGGAGGCAATGGGAAAACAGACACTGTCATAAACGATTAGTGAATTTATACTGACAAATATTTTGGAGGGCAATTTGGCATTATTTACCAAAATGTTAAATGCATACTGCCTTTGGCCCAGTAAATATGTTTATTTGTTTAAAAAGTAAAAGAAAGGGGAAGAGAGGAGAGAGAAGGGGAAAAGAAGGAAGGGGAGGAGGAAGGAAAAGAGGAGAAATCCAATGTGAAACTGCTAAATAATTTATGGTAGAGACATACAAAGAAATAGCATAGTTCACAGGTACTGAAGAGAATGAGGCAGGTACACTTAACTTAGGAAAAGATACTCAAGACATGAAAGTCAAAAGGCAAGTAACAAAATAGTATTGTAACACAGCAGATACAGTTCATGCCCTGCCCAGATACCCTTACCTGGCCCAGCCTCACAGATCCCCCAGCTGCCGTGAGAGCTGGCTGCTACCTTCTCGCAGATGTAGTCTTCTCTGGAAAATGGCCTTCAGCGGATTGAATTCCCCCTACTGAGAAATGCGGGGAAGTAACTCACCCCGACAGGGGCTGACAGGCAGCTGCAGCTGATGACTGACTGATACAAGGTATAAAACCCCAGCCCCAGGAAGTTCTAGATCCTGGTAAGATGGAGTGAGCACATACCAACCTCACTCTCCCATCGAATACAACTATAAACCTGCACAGAATGGATGCTGGACATACTTGAGGTCTGTGAAAAGTAAATAACAGCAGGTGGATTGGGAAAGAATAGAGAATTCAAAGCACCACTGCACAGGTGGAGTCTACATTTTTTCCCCTCGTATCTCCTGGCTTGAATTCAAACACAGCATGAACCCCTGAACCTGGCACTGTGGGACACACACAGAAATCCAGGAGAAACTCTTTACTTCTGGCTCGAAGAAAAGAAAGAAGACTAAAGCCCAGAGAGAGTGGGAGAAATTTCCCAGGTCCTTTTCTTCATTTTCTCCCACTCCAGCCAAGAAGCCATCCTGTGGTAGAGGCAGTGGCAGTGGCAGCAAAAGCAGCCGGCCTGGGAAACTACAGGAGTCAAAAAACGTGAAGAAAATGAACCCTCTTCTCTGTTGAGTTAGCTGCAGCTCCAAAAGGAGCCCCACTGCTACTTTTTTTCTCTCTCTATTCTTATGTCATTGTGGCAAAACTGCAGAAGCAGACAGTTTCTGGCCAGAGGACAGAAAAGGGGAGCTCAGAGTCGTCAGAAAGTACCAGAGCAATGGCTGAGCAGGAGAAACGTGGGAAAGCGACCCCATAGAGCTGTTTCTGAAATACTAGGCTCTTCTCCAACCTGCACATTCAGGGATCTGACCTCATTTAGCACACCAATGACTTTGATAAGTGAGCTTACAGAAGGACCTCCACCTCGGGCCCAGACTGATCATAGGTGGCACACACCTGAACAGCGCTGAAAAGGATTTGATAATTGAACTGATGTTAGAACCACAGCCCTTAGAAGGTGGACAGAAACCTATGGACTAAATCTAACCAGGTCAGTGCCTGCTAAAACAAAAATACCAACATTCTCCATTAGATTTAAAGAAGACTCAAAGTCTTATAATGTTCAAAATGTCCAGGAAAAAATACAAAATTATTTCGCAAACCAAAAGCCAAGAAAATCTTAACTCACAAGGGAAAAAGACAATCAACAGATGTCACTGACGAGATGACACAGATGTTGGAGTAATCTAACAGAGACTTTAAAGCAGCTATTATAAAAACACTCAAATCTGTAATCACAAACACTCTTGAAACAAAAGCTAAAATATTAAATGTCAGCAGAGAAGCAAAAGATATAAAGAAGCATCAAATGGAAATGTTAGAACTGAAATATAAAATAACTGAGGGGGAACAACCACTGGATGGACTCAACAGCAGAACGGAGATGACAAGGGAAAGAGTCAGTACACTTCAAGACAGGTCAAACAGAAATTATCCAATCCGAACAACAGAAAAAAGATTTTTAAAAAAGGAATAATGCCCAAGGGACGTGGCAGACAAAAACAAAAGGTCTAACATCCATCACGTCATTGGAATCCAGGAGGAGGAAAGAAGTGTGTGGTGATGCAGTGCTAAAACAATACATGAAGACATAATGGCTAAAAACTTGCCAAGTTTGGTGAAAGACATACCTACAAATTCAAGAAACTGAGCAAACCCCAAACAAGTTAAAGCCAAAGAAATCCACCACAACAGACACATCATAATCAAACTGCTGAATACTAAAGAAAGAAAAACTCTTAAAAGAAGCTAGAATAAAAGAATTTACCCATAGGATAGGGATCAGCAAATTTTTTCTTAAAGGGCTAAACAGTAAATATTTTAGGTTTGCAGGCCATACGGTCTCCATCACAACCACTCAGCATTGCCATCGTAGCATGAAAGCAGCCATAGACAAGATGTAGACAAACAGGTGTGGCCTTGTTGAAGTTTTACCTAGAAAATAAAGAGGCAGTCAGCCCACAGGCCATAGTTTGCCAGCTCCTATTATAGGGGAATAATGATATGAGTTACTATGGATTTCTCATCAGAAACTATGGAGGTCAGAAGATGGTGGAACAACATTTTTGAATGCTGAAAGAAAAGACTGTGAAACTAGAATTCTAATTGAGAGAATAAATCCTTCAGAAATTAAACTAAGAGAATCTGTAACCAGCAGACATGCCCTAAAAAAAACTGCTAAATGAAGTTGTTCAGGAAGAAGGGAAATGATTCCAGAAGGAAACGTGAAACATTACAAATGAAGGAGCAGCATTAGAAAAGATGTTAGAAGAAATAACACCAATTTCACACAATCTCTACCAGAAAATACAAAAGAACACCTTTCAACTCATTTTAAAAGGTCAGTAATTTCTGATACCAAAATAGACAAAGACCGTGCAAAAGCAAATAAACAATACCCCTCATGAACATACACAAAAATCCTCAACAAAATATAATAAATTTAATCCAGCAATATATAAAAACTCCAGAAGCAACTAGGGTTTATCCCAGGAATGCAAGGCCAATTCAATATCTGAAAATTAATCAATATAACCCAACATATTGACAATCTAAAGAAAAAAACACATGCTCATATCAGATGCAGAATGAGCATTTGACAAAATACAATGTCCATTCATGAAATTCTCAGCAAACTAGAAATAAAAACTTTCTCCAGCTGATAAAGGGCATCTACAAAAAAGCCTACAGCTAACATCACACTGAATGGTGAAAAACTGAATGCTTTCCCCCTAAGACTGGGAACAAGGGAAGGATGTCCACTCTCACCACTTCTATTCAACATTATATGGAATGTCTTAGCCAGTGAAATAAGACAAGAAAAGAAACAAAAGGCAAACAGATTGGAAATTAAGAAATAAACCTATCCCTATTTGCAGACTACATGATTATGTTTGTAGAAAATCCAAAGGAGCATACAGAAAAGCTCTGAGAACTAAAAAGTGAGTTTAACAATGTTGCAGGACACAAGGTCAAAACCTAAATTCAACCACAGTTCTATATATTAGAAATCCACAACTAGAAATGGTGTATTTTTTAAATAGCATTTACAATATCTCTAACAAAAATAAGATGCTTGGGTATACACTAACAAAATATGTACAGATCTGTATATTGGAACTACGAAACACTGATGAAAGAAATTTTTTAAAGACCTAAACAAAACAGAATGACATGCCATCTAATCAGATGGTCTAATCAAAATCACAACAGAATTTTTTGTAAATATACATAATTCTAAATTTTATATGGATAGGCAAAAGGAACAGAATAGACAAGACCATTGTGAAAAGGAAGAATAAAGTTGGAGGATCATCCTACTCAGTTTTAAGAATTACGAAAAAGCTACAATGATCCATACAGGATGGTATTGGCAAAGGGATAGGTACACAGATCAATGGAACAGGACAGAGTCCAGAAATAAAGCCACACAAATATGGCCATTTGATTTTTTATTTTAAGGTGCAAAGGAAATTCAATGTAGAAAGGATAGCCTTGCTGTTGGAAAAACTGGTTATCCATATGTCAAAAAGATGAACCTCGACCTGTAGCTCACACCATATTAAAAAAAACTAATTCAAAGTAGTAGATGTAAGTGTAAAATGTAAAAGCATAAAACTTGTAGAAGAAAACACAGGAGAAAATCTTCATGGTCTGGTCATATCACACTAAAAGTGTGACATTACACCAAAAGCACAAACAATAAGAGAAAAAAATGATAATTTGGACATGAACAAAATTAAACACTTTTGTTCTATGAAAAAAACCAATAAAGAAATTAAAAGACAAGCTACCCAGTGGGAGAAAAATATTTGCATTGATGCAAAGAAGAGAGAAAATGTCAAGGCTTAAATCAGCTAAGTACCAACTCAGAGCAGGGTATGCCAGCCAGAAGACCTCCATGGCAGCATTTTAGGAAAACTCAGCTCCTACAACTTAAGCGCCCATTGTGCTAAAAATCAAGCCCAAATTCGAATTTTGAAAGCGCGCAAAGTATGCTTCGCTTCTCCGACCCCCACGCCCCGCGCGCCGCTCAGCTCGGGGCAGAGCTCGCGGACGCCTTCGCTGCAGCCCGCCGGCGCGGGGCCCGGGAGCCTGGGCTCCTGCGGGACAAGGTGCTGCTCGGCGACAACGTGGCATCGCTTTGAGGCACAACGGTCCAGGGCTACACCCAGGTGAACGGGCTGCAGCGGCGCCTCGGGCCAGGGCCTGGTCGTGCTCGGCTTCCGTGCAACCAGTTCCGGCCTCAGGAGAACATCCTGGTCTTGGCATCCGGCCAAGCACGAAAAGATCCTGAATTCCCTCCAGTACTTCCGACCCGGCGGCGGGTTCCAGGCCAACTTCACTCACTTGGAGAAGCGCGAGGAGAACGGCGCACAGGCGCACCGGCTCTTCGCCCTCCTGCGGGAGGCTCTGCCCGCGACCCCGTGAAGACGCCACCGCGCTCGCGACCGACCCCCGCGTTCATCACCTGGTTTCCCGTGTACCGCGACGACGTCGCCTGGAACTTCGAGAAGTTCCTGGTGGGCCTGGACGGTGTGCCCGTGCGCAGGTAGAGTTTAGAGTTGCCGCTTTCCTACCATCGACATCGACGTCGAGCCCGACATCGAAGCCCTGCTGTCCGGGGGTGCAGCTGTGCCTAGGGCACCCCTCCTACCCCCGCTGCTTGGCAGTCACAGCGCTGTCCTCTGGGGATGTCATCCATGATGGTTATTTCCTCTAAACCTGCATGAGGAATGCCTGACGTCCAGGAAAATCCCCCAAGATGGGCGCTGGTCCTGTCTATCCCAGCCTCCTCTCTCCCAGACCTATAGAAAATGAATTGGAGATGCTGGAACAGCATGGAAGGGTATTATGGAAAGAGTCAAAAGGTATTCCCCTTCCCCATGTTGCCCAACCTTTACCAATTCCATCTATACTGGATTGACAGCACCTTTTTTTTTTTTTTTTTTTTTTTTTAGCCTGATGGCTTTCTCTGACCGCTCAAGTCCATTTT